AAGGGGCAAAAAAATTGCAATGTAAAAGCGGACCATGTAAAAGTGACGTAAACAGTTACGTTTCATAAAATATTTGCAAAAGCAAAGTTTAAAATCAATGAACCTCGTACCAAAACAAAATTTAATCGCAATCTCAACAAATTCCTTGATCCATTTTTTAGCAAAAAACCCCAAAGATTGTGGCAGCATCAGGCGGCCAGATTAAATCACCCAACGGACTGGATTCAGCCCACGGGCGTACTTTCCCTATGTCTGGTCTAGAGTGTCTCCAAGTCTTTTAACGTATCATAATTTCAAGTGGATCCTTACAGAGTTAAAAAAATATATCTACATTTGAGGTTTATTCATGCGGAGAGGAAAGTGGTAATATGTGTTCCCTATTTGTAAATGGATCCTAGAGAAACTCCAATTATGCAAAGAAATGATTACAACCCTCTGCGCGCTGATAAAGCTAGACCTGGACCTGGCGCAGAAATTTGGACATTTAGACTGGCGAGCCATGTAAGTGTGACGTAAAACGATGTGTGACGTGTGACGATTTTTTGAACAATATTTACATTTACAAAAGCAAGAGTAAAAAACATTTTAATCAAATTTTTAACAAATTCATTGAGTTATTTTCAGCTAAAAGATCAAAATTTGGTTTAGTTTGGTTGTGGCAGGATCAGGCGGGCCAGATTGAATTTCCCAACTGGCAGAATTTAGCCCGCGGGACGTAGTTTGCCCATGTCAGAGCTAGACTACGCCCTACCAAAATTTTAAAATGCTTTCGCGTTTTACAAAATGGGATTTACATCCCAAGCAATTCCGATTTAAAAAATTCGCTAACAAATGTGTTACAAACCTCGGTATCTGTAGAGTTTACTTTCTTTAAAACGAATTTCTCTGTTTTCCAGGTAGTCGAGGCAGAAAACGGCCAGATTGCTTTCCTAAAAGTTGCAAAATATATAATTGCTGCCTTTACATAGACTTCCAAAAAAATCAAAATCGGTTATACTCGGCATTTTCAAGGAACCCCATCTACATGAAGTCTATTTTTCAGCTCTCTTTCCGAGCGCATCAAATTTAACTGTCTCAAGTCTCCCGCCAATAAGCATTTACCAATGTTGAATTCACCGCTATAGTTATTTATAGTTTTAGCAGCTCTTCATGTTACAGTGCTTGCCAGTAGTTTTGTTCCCAGATGATATTCAAAGCAAATTTTTTGGAATACCCTAAAACAGGGGCGAGCAACCTTTAATAGAAAGGGCCAAATACAAATAACTGGGTGAAGCCGCGGCCCACACTTTTATTCAACATAGGCTTTGCTTGACAACATGACATGTTCATAGGCATAGATAATAATTTGGACCGAAATATAGGTTTTGCAACACAACGGGATTGGAATTACTCAAAAGTATCAGATTGAACTAAAAATTTGTTTTGCAAGCCCATTAGACAAAACTGGCACTATGCCGCGGGTTTCACATTTTTTTTTTGTGAGCCGCATTTTCTTTCTGGCGGCAGGTGGCACAAGCCTGATCTAAAACACTGAATTACAAATTTCGTTATTGTTTTTTTTAATTATAAATCCTCACTGTATAGCGGCTGCCAATACAAAACCTTCTTTGGAGTGAAAGCGGGAAATATTTGGGTGAAAAATAAATGCAGTGTTAGCTACTCACGTTACAGTTCCATTGTGAACCTTGGCCACCAGTTCTCCATCAGATGTCCCTTTTATGTCGACACTCATGCATAGTTCCTCATTGCCAGCCAAAGCCTTGGATAAGGATCTGATTGAACCGTTACCAGCAAGAACATAACCTAGAATCAATTGGAATAAAAAAAGTGAGTATATCTGGTGTGAGAACTGGGATAGAGCTTGAGTATTTTTCAACGAGCAGAGTTACAGGCACTCACTCAGAGTAAAGGAGACTCAGTTGTAGGTAAAGTTACAGGCAATCACTCAGAAGTATAGGAGACTCAGTTGTAGGTAAAGTTACAGGCAATCACTCAGAAGAAAAGGAGACTCAGTTGTGAGTAAAGTTACAGGCACTCACTCAGAAGTAAAGGTGACTCACTTGCAAGCAAAGTTACGGGCCCTCACTCAGAAGTAAAGGAGACTCAGTTGTAAGTAAAGTTACAGGCACTCACTCAGAAGTATAGGAGACTCAGTTGTAGGTAAAGTTACAGGCAATCACTCAGAAGAAAAGGAGACTCAGTTGTGAGTAAAGTTACAGGCACTCACTCAGAAGTAAAGGTGACTCAGTTGCAAGTAGTTACAGGCAAAGGTGACTCATTTGAAAGCAAAGTTACGGGCACTCACTCAGAAGTAAAGGTGACTCATTTGTAAGGAAAGTTACGGGCACTCACTCAGAAGTAAAGGTGACTCATTTGTAAGCAAAGTTACAGGCACTCACTCAGAAGTAAAGGTGACTCATTTGTAAGCAAAGTTACGGGCACTCACTCAGAAGTAAAGGTGACTCATTTGCAGGCAAAGTTACAGGCACTCACTCAGAAGTAAAGGTGACTCATTTGCAGGCAAAGTTACAGGAACTCACTCAGAAAGTAAAGGTGACTCATTTCCACACAAAGTTACGAACACTCACTCAGATGTAAAGAAGCCTCATTTGCAAGCAAAGTTACAGGCACTCACTCAGAAGTAAAGGTGACTCATTTGCAAGCAAAGTTACAGGCACTCACTCAAAAAGTAAAGGTGACTCATTTGTAAACAAAGTTACGAACACTCACTCAGATGTTAAGAAGCCTCATTTGTAAGCAAAGTTACAGCCACTCACTAATTTCATACGGAAACAATACCTGTAATGTCCTTAGTCCTTTCAAATGTTCCATTAACTCTCATGTAGCCGCATGTAGGGTTGGTTGAAGACTCAAAATTACAAGTAAGATCGACTGAAAAACATAAAAAGACTTTTTTAAAGACCTAGTTTCGTATTCTGGCTTGAACCAAATATTATTTTACTGTGAACAGGGCTGTAAAGTCAGATGAAATTCACAATCGACATCGGGTTAAAAACAATCTTAACTTCGACTCAGCTTATAAGTCCAGAGATAATCAAATGTCCTAATGTCAGACTTTCAATGGAAACAAGCCAAAATTATCAATAAAAACTCAAAAGGCAGGTTTGCTAATAATTCATAACAGTATATTTAGCCAGGCTTGCATGAATTGGACTTAAGAAGTGTAAATTTCATTTGAATAAGAGTCAGATTTTAATTAGGAGTTTGCTAAGTTTTTAAGATCGGATTTTTGGCAGAGGCCGATTCATCTCATGGGAGAGGAAAGTCAATGAGACGGCTCAATCAAATAGCAAATCCCACCAGTGGTCTCATTACCAGTCCATGTTGGATTTAGAAATAGCTAACTAGTTATTTGTTTCAGCTAATTTTTGGATGGCATAGTCAGGTGGGGGTTAGGATTGACATGTGCAAAAATCGTTATGCTACACTCACTAGAAGTACTTGGGATACGAAACTACACGAGGCACCAACAACCGAACACCCTGGAGTTAAAAATTATCCTCGAATACACAGCGTCAACACTTACCTACGCAAGTGGGCAATTCCCCCCAGGTTCCATTTTCTCCGCATTTTCCCATGTTTGATCCTTGAAGAACGTATCCAGCATTGCATGAATATTTGATTGTTTGACCAAACTCTAAGTCAGGTGCGGTCGTAAGGTCCACAATCCCGTTTTCTAGAGCTTCAGGTGCTGGGCAGCTACGTACTGTAACTGAACATTGAAACAGTTATAAGGTGCAGACCAGACTTTTCAACAAATTTGCCAAATTCTGATATCATAGGTATTTTCACCTCCTCGACCTCGAATAAAAAACTAACAAAAAAAAACAAGAATTTAGAGCAGGGCTCGGCAAACTTTTGTCGGGCCAAAATTAAAGATTGCAAGTCATTGGCGGGCCAAACATATTTATAGAAAGTTCAAAACCGAACGGATGATACTTTTTCTATTAAAAATCAAGCAGTGATACATCTCTCAAATAGAATATAGATTTATTTTCTCATTTCCATTTGAATATTTTCGGCGCCATTAAACTCGCCATTTAGCATCAACTTTTCTGCGTTTTGTTGTTATTTGTCTAATTATAATTAGATTATCGGCTTAGTAAACGAGTAATTGTGAATTTTATACATGTTATGTTATAATATAATTTAGTCTACACGTGTCCCACAATAAGTTCGGGCCGGATTCAGCCCACGGGCCGTAGTTTGTCGACCCCTGATTTAGAGCCCGGATGGTACAACCCTTACGTGCGGGCAATCAGCTCTTGATTTATTCTCATTCAATTCATCAATGCAGTATATTTGGTGGATAAAATAAAACAAATATCAACATTTAAAAAAATTCCAATTTGTGGAAAGTAAAGAGTTTACCCCACTGTATCGAAAAAAATCGACGAAAAAGTGAGTAACTGCGATTTCTGGGTCTTGTATAGTTTAATATCACATGTAATGGGTGTGGCCTAACCATTTTTTGCATATTTTATTTCCAACCCCCATCTGAATACGTCATCCAAAAAAAAACACGACAAAATATACGGACGTTTTCACGATATTTTTTGAGGATTACTTAATCCGATGAGGGTGCCCGCTTTAATTACTTAACTACGCCAGTATCCGATTTCTTGAGTCGAACAGTGCAGCAACAACACTATAGGGCATAAAGCGGAGCAACGCTCGAATTATGACGCCATCTTAAGGCAATTTTGCTAAGTCCTATTTTTAGGCGCCTTGCAGGGATAAAGAAAGTCATTTTTTTAAGGATAATCTGAGGCCATAACGTTGATATCTTTTAATCGCGCAAATACATTTAGTGTTTTCGTGATTCGTTGTCAAATCTCATTACTTTTCCGGAAACCATCGCAATTTTCTTGTTCTGGAGAATTCCTAATTAGAATATTTAACGTGTACTAAAAAGCGTTTAGGGGAGAAATATTTTCCGAGTGAAAAACGAGAAAGAAAAGGCCACACCAACCTGTACTCTATTCAACTTTTGTAGTTTGTGGGAGCACAGTAGACAGAATGGCTTCCTTAGTTGACCACGGGGATGTAGCAGGGACGGTTGAAGAGCGCGTCGTGTTCTTGACTTTGTTACCTGTGTGAAAAATTGAATTTATATTATAAGTTTATAGCAAGATTTGAAGGTTCGGATACTTCAAGATAAGAATGAGACACTCAATGTCAGCGTTTTCGCACAATCGCCTTATTACCGATTACTATTACTGAAAAGGACTTTTTCAATATCTAGTGCATAAGATACCAAAATACATGTATTTTCATACCCTGGGGATTGGTCGTTTCTTTGACTCCTACAACAGAGGGCTGCACTGAGTTCGTCTCTGCTACTTCCAACACCTTTTCTAATTGATTGAGCTCACTTTTCATCCCGTCTAATCGTTCCGTTAAAGCTGCGAAACATAATAAAAACAGAATTTAAATTGCCATCAGTTTTACAATCCGTATCCAGTGAATTTTATTGTTAGAAGATATGAATCCCCCTCTCTCTGGTTCCATATAAAATTATGAGATGGGTATTTCTAAACTATATGTCATGATTTGATTGGTAAAAATGGCGCAATAAAAATAGAAAATGATTGAAATTCACTGATGAAACGGTGGTGCTCTTGGAGAATGCGTACCAATATGGCGGACATTGGAACGTAATATTTGTACCAGGTTAGGATTAGGTCCTAATTTTATTCTAATTTTTCTTATTTTAGTTCAATTACAAGTTGGAGGACTAATTAGGTAACTCCCGTAGTATTTGCACCTTAAATTATAGCCTCACCCTAACATGGTAAACATAATACGTTCCTATTTCCGCCATCTTGGTACGCATATTTCAGGGGTACCTAAACGATTGTTAGCTATCATACCGTTTGGCAAATATGAAAAATAGCGAAGGTATTTTAAAGGAAGTAATATTGTGGACACGAACCTTCCAAAGCTTTCTCTTCTTCTTTTGTGCACTGTCCTTCCTGAAATAGAACAAGAGAGGAATGTTTAAATATATGGACATGAAGGTTGCACATCCATGCAGTAAGGCCTTAGCTTAGCAAGTGTTCCCCGTGAAAAAGTGTTCCCATGGATTAAAGTGAAATACCACCAGTATGAAACTACTACTAAAGCTCTCACCGTAAGTTCTCTCCAAGTAGGTTGATCGTCGCAAATCATAGGAATCCAGCATTCCTCTCCTGTTAGAAAAAAAAATAAAATTAGAAATCGAGTTAATCGTTCATTTTAAAATAGGTTTTTTAACATATAAACGAAAGTTATGTCCCTGAACTTTTTTATTATATAGAGACTATTTCAGTACCTATTTCCTTATGGCGCGCATTCGCTTATTCCATATTTAATTTTATACAGCTACCTACGTCATGCGAACGCACTATTTTCCTCGATGATGATTGGTCGAATCAAATTTAAATTTCACGCCCGCCGCTGAGGAACCTAATAATGTTCATCGAACGTGCGCCATAGGCAAAGATTTGATTCATACCGTCGGTTTCTGAGAATCGTTCCAGTTTTTCTGGCGAACAATAAACTCGCGAAAGTTCTCCATAGTTTGATGCTTCCTTTATACACCTTTATAACCGAATTCGGCATTGCTACACCCTGGGTGTATAAAAAATGGAACGCGAGTTTTTAACCTGCGATGCTAAAATATAAGTCCAACGCTTTACCAATGGGCCAACACACCCGCTAATCTATGAGCGATTTTTCACTTCTGAACATTTGAGTGTATTTGGCGATATTTATTTAGGATTTAGCTTTAAAAACCAAAACATTTTGAATGAGGAAGTTCTCTCATTGGAGATTTCAAAACAAAAATTGTTTTACAATGAAGGAAGGGCCATTTAGTAAGATCCACGGTCAGGGCGAGATTCAGACGACAAGAGGCCCTAGGCTTCTGAGTTTTCCGAGAGTCCTCTTAAACAATGACGTCATGAAGAATACATTATGACGTCATAAATAAATTACATGATATTTTAGCTACTGGCAGCATGCTAATTGCACAAGTAGATTAAGAAATTGCGTCGTAATAAAACGCCATGAGACCAGAGTACAATTTTTTGAATTTATACAAATTTGTTAGTCTACTATTTTTAATTTTCGAAACGGTGGGTATTTGAGACGAGAATTTATTTGATTAATATCAGCTTTATAAAATTCTGAATTGTTTTTATTCTATAACAATCTTTTACAATTCAAAAGCGACTTGAAACCGGATGATAGTACAAAATTGAATGCCGAGGTCCCTAAAACTTTAGACCCCAAGGCCTATTTTGCCGGGTAAACTCAGCCCTGTTTACAGTACAGCAACGCATCCAATACGAGACAAAATCAACGAGGTATTCGAGGGGGATATCTATCAGATAAAAAATTATTATTTTCAAAATTTAAATTTTGGTTCAACTTTCATCGAGAGACCAGGGTTCGTCATATTATTACGCCGTCATACCGGCTTTCCCTACGCCGCAATAAATGAATATTCCCCCTAACACAAATATTTCAGCCGTAAAACGAAAAAGCAGATATGAAATTTGTCAAATGAATTGTTTCAATTCACAGTTACGCCGTGTCACCTATATTGGCTAAATCGCCAATTTACGAATACATTATGAAATGTTAAAATTTGTTGAATTCGACAAATAAAGTGTTTTTTCATCGTATTTTTGCCCAAGTTTTTCGATGTGGTTCGGAAAAAATATTGGAATTTCTACAATAATGTCACTAATACACTGTTACAATTAGAACGTATATTATTAAATTTTTGAATTCTATACTTATAATCTTAATACGCTCCGGTGGTATGGCACCAAGATGGCGCACAACCTGATAATCCTAGCCTGGTACACATACCATGTTCAGGTTGTGCGCCATCTTGGTGCACATACTACCGGAGCGCCCTTAATACTTATATAAAGCGTTCATGCCGTTTGGATATCATTGGCCTGATTGTTTGAGTCTTTATAGAATTTTTAAATAACTAACCCTCTGTATAAACCACTAATTATTATATTCGAAAATCGCTGGGGAGGTTTTTAGTATTTATTTTACTTTTTGCTTTTGTAAAATCAACAATAATTATAAGCCGATTAAAAAACGGTAATCCCGAAGTATGTGTACCAGGTTAGGATGAGGCCAAAATTTTATTTCATTTATATTACGGGTTGTTGGGCCATCTGTGTTAGCCGAGCGAATACCACCCTGCCCAGCTGTTTCAGTTCCTTTACACAACTTAATGTAAAATAAGCGAACAAAATGAGTCACCCTCATATTGGTACACACACTTCTGGAGTCCTATTTTTCATATTTAAGTTTTTCGATGTGGTTTGGGAAAAATATTAGAATATCTACAATAATGTCACCAATACACTGTTACAATAAGAACGTATATTATTAGATTTCTGGATTCTATACTTATAATCTTAATACGGCGCTCCGGTAGTATGTGCACCAATATGGCGCACAACCTGATAATCCTAGCCTGGTACACATACCATGTTCAGGTTGTGCGCCATCTTAGTGCACATACTACCGGAGCGCCCTTAATACCTATATAAAGCGTTCATGCCGTTTGGATATCAATGGCCTGATTGTTTGTGTCTTTATATAATTTTTAAAAAACTAACCCTCTGTATAAACTACTAATCTAATTTTTATATTCGAAAATTGCTGGGGAATATTTAGTAATTATTTTAATTTTTGCTTTTGTAAAATCAGCGATTATTATAAGTTGATAGTAAGTGTACCAGGTTAGGGTTAGTGTGTGATAGCCAAGTAAATATCCCCTGCTATACTGATATACTGAGGCAAAAGTTTTACTTGATGTATGATTTATCAATTGGGTATCAAATATCCAACGAAATTATTTATTTTATCGTGCAGGGGTGGCAAGGTTTTTGGGCAGGGGGTCAAAAATTTTACTAGACTGGCGGGCCATGTAAGTGTGACGCAAAAAGTCACATTTCATCAACAGTCTTAACGGTTTTACAAAAGCAGAAGAGGAAACCATAAGCCTCCTACCAAAATTTAATCATAATTTCCTCAAATTCCTTGAGCTATTTTTTAGCTAGAACATCCAAATTGGGTTTTAGTTTGGTTGTGGTAGCATCAGGCGGGCCCAATTAAATTAACAAACTGGCCAAGTATAGGCCCGCCAGCCATGGTTTGCACATGTCAGTTTTAGTGCGCCCTAAAAAACAAAACTCAGGCAAGCAAGCAAACCCAACAAAGCATGCACGGTTGTACTGACCTTTAATCAATAAACAAGCTTCTATCAACAGTAGTAGTCCGATGAAACTGTGTCGAATCGGAATCTTCATTTCGAATCCAAGAATTTCGTCAACTTTGCTTCGATGAAAGTAAATTGAATGAAGTAGTAGAATATATCCTATGCAAGCTGACTCACTACTTTTGAGCGGAAAGTGAGATTGTTTTCTCTCTTTCAAATTTCAGGAGACGTGTTGCGTCACAAAAAGAGAGTTTGGGCTGCTCTTTCTATCTTTATGAAACGATGACGACGACGTCACTACCACGCCCGTGAGAGTCATATTTGATGGAATTTTGGTAAATTTTTGCGCAATATGGCATATTAACCGACACCATGAATCCTATTATATGAAAATTCAGGCCAGACATGTCTTGCCGGCTTTTAATATTGTGTGGCTCAGTCTGGGTAGATATAAATATATATATCAACTGAAAATTAAGAATTTAGGGTCAGAAATGATCTGAAAATTTGAGTTTCCTGCGCAATCTGCTTTCCTAGCCTTCAATCTAACTGGATAATTACAATTTTTTTTGAGCGGGGGCTTACAGGATTTCGGACATCGAATACAATATTTCGAATGTCGAATATTGAATTTTAGACGTCGAATATTAGAATTTGGACGTTGAATATAGGTTCACGGACGTCGAATATGGTATTTCAGACGTCGAATATATGATTTCGGACATCGAATATAAGATTTTAGACATCGAATATAAGATTTCGGACGTCGAAAATAAGATTTTAGACATCGAATATAGCATTTCGGACGTCGAATTCTCGGTTTACTTGCTTCAGAAGCGCAGAAAAAAAATAGCCACATATGAGCACCGCGTCGCCAAATTCCAGTAGTTATGAAATAACGATTTGAATACCCTTTTATTCGCTACACGCAGGCTTGTAAAGTAACTTTAAGCATGATTTTGTTAAAAAATTTAAGTTAAAAGCTAATAAAATGGAAAAATGACATCACTTTAGTTATGCGGTTATAAGTTTCAATAATTTTGACCCAGCAATAAAGTTTGCAGCTCTGCAAAGCGACCCAGCATCTTTCATACCTGGTCAGTCCTTGCAATAGGAGACAAAGGTATGATTATGTTTTATTTATCCATCCGCGCAATTTTTGAGCCATTTAAAATTGATCGCGCGCCTTATAGGTGAGTTCCACAAATGTATGTGTCAGGTAACACTGCACTCAAAACCAGTATCAGTACGAGCCAAGCCTTCTAGCCCAATGCGCCTTATGTATGGAAAATGCCCCAGTCCCCGCCTACCCCCTATCAGTACAAATATATCAGTACGATATTCTGATTATGCTTGTAATCGAAGCCCTTTTATATTTTCCAAAAACTGACATATCACACGTAAAAATGCATTGAAATGCCGCGATTTATGGACATAAAACACGTCGGATTTTGCCATGGCTGGTTGAATTTTATTTTGAATTTGCAAAGAGGTAAATTAGGGAAAAAAGGCTGAAAACCTTTGCTATAAATCCCGATAACAGCAAACAAATGCGAGATAGAGGGCGGCTTTATTTGCATTGCTATTTTGTTGGCAATGGCTAAAATGTGAAAAATCGGATGCCAGGGTTATGCCAGTTCAAATCGGCATAAATTGTCAACTTTCGTTTCCTGGAATTTAATGGTTTATTGACGTAAATCGTGCAGTTATCGTTTGAATTTTTTGATTTAAATAAAATAAAATTTTTTTTATGTCTGTTACTCACTGTTGAATCAGGCATTAATCACACACTCCGGATTTAGAAATATCAGTGACTATCACATGTTATGAAACGTTGTTTTTCCTGATGATCTCCCTTAACCCCCAACGCTTCCGTTCTTCTTGAAATATTTACCATAAGTGCAAAATTGCCGCAAATTTTTGGTTCTATGATTTTAAATTTAATTGGCTTTGTGACAAACCAAGCATTCATGTTATTTCAAACAACATTTTTATGAGAAATCTACCTTGTGTGGGAATTATCGCTTCGGTTTTTATTTCCACTTGTTACGACTTCAAATGGTTATGGGCGACCTTTTATGACAGAAGTAAATTAAAGTGAGAATTTAAAGTCCAAATACGATAAAAACCCAACATAATTAGAAGTAAATTGAATTTTGCTGCCAATATGACCCAACACTAGACAGGGTGTCCGAAATTGTAGGGGGGTGTTTGCCCCTTATGGGAGTGGTGTGGGGAAATCACTGCACTCCACCAGACATTAAACAGCTATTTGCCAATAAATAAAGGAAGCCGTCACTTCAAATGAATATAATGAGATAATTTACTAATTTCTTTTCCAATTAATGAACACTATTGGGTACTTTTGGGTTAAAATTAGTAAACTAAGTAAAGTGCTAAAGAGTTAAGAACCGCTGCTCTAAAGTGATATAGTGGGACTCGGGTTAGAGTCTTCCTTGTAATTCCCACACAAGGTAGATTTACCACAAAAATATTGTTTGCGCGTGCTTGATACATGGGTGGGCTAATTACGGCCCGCGGGCCACCGAAGTGTTTTATCCGGCCCACTTGTGTCTTCTGAAATTACGACTATTCTTTTTATGGATATAAACATGCGTTGAAATTATCGATGTAAATTACGTCACGTCAGCCAATCAAATTTGTAATCGGGGTACCGAATGACGTGGCAATATTTCTGACATACATCGAATATTTGAAAATATAGAAAAAAAACACCCTTGGACGTCAGCCAATCAAATTTAAAATCGGGGTACCGAATGTGACATACCACGAATATTTAAAAATATAGAAGAAACTTTATTCCAACTTTTAGAATTCATGCTATCGAGGGGCGATATATGTTAACAAAAAAGTAAATTTTCCACACAACTTACGCTACAATTGTTACGCTATGTGTAGATTGAACCAGGGGTTCTTAAACAATCTCGAGACGCAACCCAATTTAGGGTTTTATGAACATCTCGCAAGCTATACATCGGGAAGATGTTTTCTCATGTTAGCTAAGTTTAGACGAAACATGGCAATGCAATTTCAATAATGCAAAAATGTGAAATTTGAGAAAAAACATCCCCATCGTAAATATGCAGTTGAGGGTTAGAGAGGATTTGAAAATTTGAATTTCTAGCGCAATGGAAAATTACTAGTTTTTTTTTGAGTGCATGGAAATATTGATGGAAAAAGTCCTGCGATGAGAACTAGACAATGTTATCAACTTTTCTTTGCAATTCTCGCTATCGCTCAACTAATTTCCGCTGCATCGTTCATGAGTAACACCATGCTTTCGAAGTAACGCATTTCCAAAACACATTCGTGATTATACGAAATCATTATCGTATAAAAAAAATCGCGGAAGCTCACATCAGTCATTTACTTTCTTTTCAAACAGCGCAACGCAAATTTAAGGCCAAATATATCAGTGAGATATTCTGATTATAATTTTATTCGAAGCCCTCACTATATTTTCCAAAAAAATGACATATCACACGTAGAAATGCACTGAAATACCGCGTTTCATAGACATAAAACAAGTTGGATTTTGCCCCTTTGTGAATTTGCCAGGTTTGCCCTTTATCACGCGATTTGTAACTCCAAGAGGCGGAATCGCAGACTTTCAATGGCGATAAAATGACTCAAAACTTCCTACTAAATCTCACAAAAATTAATTTTACCGTCTGTTAACTAATTATATATATAGGTCACTCATTCACGCCGTTTGATATGAACTAGGCTTTGTATGAGCTACCACTGATATCTAACGACATGTGAAGAACTACTATTATTCGAAAATACCAATATTTTTCTGGCTCGACATTGCTTCATCAATGTATCACAATAGGAGGGGGCTGGTTAGAGGTGGTGGGGGGTAGCGAGATAGATTTCTGATTCTTTTTCGCATTGCTTTTTCATTTGCAATGGTTAGATCGTTTTCAACGATCGTTTCCCAGAAGCTGTTTAGCTGAAAATGATTTATTGATGTACATCGTGAAGTGATCGTTTGAATTTTTTGATTGAAATTAATTTAAAATATTTTCATTTCGGTTACTCACTGTTGAATCAGGCAATGATCACACACTCGGGAGTTTTAGCTTTGTGACAAAACAAGCAGGCGCCGCCATATTGTTTCAAACAACATTTTTTCTAGAAATCTACATTGTGCGGAAATTATCGCGTCAATTTTATCCCGATTTCCACCTTTTACGACTTGAAATGATTACGGGCCACCTTTTAGGGCAGAGGTAAATTAAAGTGGAAATTGAAAGTCAAAATACTATTAAAACCGAACATAATTGGATTTAAATTATATTCAAATATGACCCAACACTTGCCAGAGTGTTTGAAATTTTCGGGGGTGTTCACCCTAGAGCTAAGATCTGAAGCCCGAGCCCGACCCAAAATTCGGGCCGGGTCGGTCCTGAAATCATTACGTTCGGGTCGGGTCGGGCCGGGCTTCTCCATTGCTGGATATTAACAGGGATTATCGTATGAGATATTCACTGAAATCTTTACAGTCGCATAGATCATAGGTTCTCAAAGTGCTCCGTACGGAGCCCCAGGGCTCCGCAAGAGAAACCCAGGGGCTCCGCGGGCTATTCGATTACTTGGCTATTTTGTAACTGTCCAAAGACGCAATAACGGCAATAATAAAATGTGCCAACTGTAGTCGCAGTCGGTAGTTTTAGAATGCATAAGAGTAACCTAAATCGCGCGCACAATTGACTATGTTTCCATTTCTGTTACTACCGTATAATTTCCAAAGAAAACCTAAAATAACACCAAATTTTGTTATTAACATTGTCCTAAAAAGCTTTTTCAATCTGTCACGAGTCTGCTAAAACAAAACTTATGGTGTTATCTGTTTTAAGTTTTAGTTTTATTATTATATGATGCCGCTTTTCATTCGAATAATTTGGGTTGCGAATACACCTCTTGATTATTTATTCTTAGCATATCGTCGCCGATGATATATAATATACTAACTTGTTTTCCACACTGAACCTATTTTTACACACGAGAACAAAAAGCAATTATCGTCTTCCTCGTCGAACAATTTATGCATATGCCGAGGAAAATTTGTGATTTAGGGAGAATAAACACCGACGTGCAACTGTTT